AATAATCAAAACATTTCAGAGGTGTGGGCGCCAAAAGTGTGTTTGCCCCTGGGTGCTGAGAACCCTTGCTACGACACTGCCTTCAGATAAAGAGAATGCTGAACTATGAAGGTAGTTCATCTGTTGTTGCAAAGAAAAGGGTAATTGGAGATAGCATTTCAAACAGTTTCGTGTGGGAGGTAGAACTTTAAGAAAATAACAATGAACAAAACTATAATATTTGTATATAATATATTAGGAATGAAAACACAGAATGAGTATATTAAATTGGAAAAATTATGTAAGTTATCTTCTCTGTTTTGTTTTACTGTTTATAAGCTAAAATTAAGATACTGCTTTTCTTTTCTAGATAATAATTTGAAAACTGTATAAAATACTAATTTTAATTTTGAAAAATAACTTAATTCATCAGCATTTTACTGTGCTAAATTCATATATCAGTAAATGTATAATTTTAATTCTGTATTTATTTGAGATGCATATATATATATTTTTAAATTGTGATCATAAATTTTAAAAAATACAAAAGTTTTGTCATATATGCAATTAAATATTCATATATATCATGTACAAATTCTTTTTGTTTGGGAAGATGTCTAAATTCAGTTTCTGAATTATTGTTTTTACCAAGAAAATTAATGTTTGGAGCAGAAAAAATAAAGGAGTTTTAGAACGAGCACAAAAAGATCTTGAAACTAAGACTGAAGAGGATGATGTCTTGACAAAATCAAGGTTTGTATATTTTTATCACTTAAAACCTGATAAATGTCAGAGCTTATCTGCTCAGTGGAAAAAACTTGTTAACTACAGTAAATACATTGTGAATTAACACACTGGATATATTGTTGCTCTGTGTACTGAATGTGACATACAGTAGCAACTGAGCATTCCTGCATTCTCCTACGTCTTTTCCACTAATCATTGAAAAATGAGGCTCGTTGTTAAAATATAAGATTATAAAACTAAAATATAATCAATGACAATTATATCATTTCTTTGAAAAGTCACTCTGTGTTACATGAAATGTTACTTTATACTTTGTGGTAAACTTGTAAGTAATTCTAGACCTTATCCTTTTCTTTTATGCTATTCCATAATATATTATTTGTCATGTGTACTAGGTACTTTTATGTGGTTTGTAGACTTGTATGGTTAATTCAAGTTTTCCAAATTACTATAGTCTTCAAACTTCCTCTGGGATTTCATTTTTATAAAATATAAAATTAATTAAACTAACAAGAAATTTTATTACTGTTTTCTAATGACTACTAGCATAGTAAGCTACAGAATAGCTACAATGGCACAGTATTTAATACTAACTGTGTAAGCTAGAGAATAACTACAATGATACAGTATAATACTTACGTACTCTGTAAACTAGAGAATAGGTACAATTGTACAGTATTTACTATCAGCTCTGTAAAGTAGAAAATAGCTACAATGGTACATAATGTACCATTAGCTATGTAAACCAGAAAATAGCTACAATGGTACATGATGTACTATTAGCTATATAAACCAGAAAATAGCTTCAATGGCACACTATTTACTACTGTCTTTTCTAGTTATAGAATTGTTACCGTGTCATAATCTTTACTACTAGCTCTGGAAACTAGAGATAGTAATTAAAGTAGATAGTACAATTCAAGTTTTTTAATTCTTTGAAAGTTGTTATTATATCATGAAATATCTAGCTGTTTGAAATGGATTACATAAAATTCAGAAAAGCAAGTACTCATGAGTACTGTTTATAAGTATGTGCATACATTCATTGTGTGACTTTTCAACCAGAATGAATTATACACAAAATTATATCACAGATATATTGGCTAGACCTAGCACTGTTTTCTTTATCATATTTTTATTTATGTAATGCTACTGAGTATTTAAAATAAACATCCCTTTACAACAGTCGTAACATTACAACTACATGTAATTTTTGTATATGATACTGTTGCACAAAGAACTAAGCACACAAAGAGTTTGAACTTTTCCTTTTCGTTAATATAAAATTTCACCTCCATGTATAAATAAAGCTCATTATACTATCCAAAGTATATCATTTCCTTGTACCTAAAATATCTTTGAACAACATCTGATTTTAAACTCTATATTATCACACTGATGTTTCTTTTTTAAGTTTACTATTGAAAAGGAAAAATTTAATTATTAGATGTATAAAATAGTTTTATAAATGCATTTCAAGAATCATACTTTTTTTGATTAAATACTATCAATATGTATTTTAATTCTCAAAAATAATTGTTTGAGGCTTTTTCAGTTTTATCTTTAACAAATACCATTTAAATGTGATACTCAATTGACATCAAGTAAAATGGGTCTTATTTATTTACTTCTAGCCACCCATATCTTTCACTAAAGTTCTTAACTACTTTCTTCATGATATCTGTATTAGTACTTCATACTTTTTATGTGGTTTTATGATGTTTGATATTTTATTTTGCTTTGAGTAAGATGTAATGCACCTAAAGCTTAACAATTTCATTTAGTTTATATGTAGTACTAGTATAAACTAACATATACGTGATTTGGTATGCAAACAGAAGATTTGAAAGATTTAGTGTGTGAATTTGACTGTAGCAGTTTGAAGAAGGAAGATTCATACATATAGTTACACAATAAATAAAAAGTCTTTATTGTACTTTAGAAAAAATGATGTAATTGAAAATAGATGAAAAAAAAACAAATTCACTGAATTAAAGAAAACAGTAAGTGAACTTCAACTCTTTCCAGCTTGGTAGCATTATATAAGCCACACCAGCATTTGTACTTATAAAATTAATAAATTATAAAAACAAAAGCTATTTATAAAGAACACACTTCAAACATAAAGCAATGATTACCATTGAATGGTTTTGAACCCAAGTTAGATTTATTTGGTAAATTTACATTGAAATAAAAGGCACCAAATATGCTGTTATATGACATAACCTTGACTGTTTATTTGAAAGCTAGTTCTTGACAAAAAGTAATAGCAATATAATACAGTTACAAGCCTCATGTGATGCATTAGCACAGTTTTTCAAATGAAGTTTTTGAGTAAAATATCTTGTATATCATTAAAACTAATATAAAGAGAAACTTTAATACAAGTTTAACATAACAGCAAATGTACAACGTTTCGACAAGGTTTTGATGATGACAAAACCTTGTCGAAACGTTGTACATTGGCTGTTATGTTAAACTTATATTAAAGTTTTTCTTCATTACCCATTCAAGCCGTCTCCAGCCATTGTTAGTCTCAAAGTGGGTTCCTCGTCATCAAATTTTAATATAAAGAGAGGTTATTTTTCTTAGTATTGCCCATTTATAGAAGTTGCCTCTCTATTACTTTAAGAATGATGTACAATTGTTTAAAAAGCCCTCTTCCCCAATCTTTTTTAAAGTGAAAAGGAACTTCCAAAGTAATTGCCTCAGCAAAATAAACATTTAGTGGAACCAATGAAATTGAATTATTAGCTGTTTACCAAAAAAATTCAAACTATAATCTAATTATTATATTGCAGGATTCTTTACATTTCATCAAAGGTAAAATAGAAAACATAACCTGTAACATAGAAGTCGAATGCATTCTTGAATAATATATTCATTTATGGGACTCTTAGATTTCACAGATCCTTCAGACTGGTCTTTACTTTCATTTTCTTGTTTTCTTCTGATTCTACTTGCTTACAAAATCTGGTAAAAGAAGTAATCTAAATTGTTCTCATGTTTCTCTGGGATTTTATTTCCATCTCTTTGCAGTTCCTAAGCAATTAAGACATTGAGGAATTTTCATGTGTCAGGTTCAACTAAATATTTATCTGAAGACACCTCGTTTCAAACGTTAAGTTGTTATACAGTTTCTTCATCATTGCCATTGGATGACAGAGTCTGATATAGGATGCTTATCTTCATGTTCATATTCTTCAATCATTTAATTATTGTCACTGGGGGGATAGTTTATCAATTCACTGACCTTCAGATCCATGGTTTATCAACTCGCTGCCCTTCGGCTTCATGCATTTTCTGTTGAGTAGTGTAAATCATTTGCTGTTCATTTACATTCACTTGGTATATGAACAATTGTTTATTTTAATCCTTCTGTCCATTCAGTCTCTTACATACACTTAATGGACTACCCAGCTAGCTATATCTTCTGGGTAGATCATTCATAATCTAAAATCCCATTTAATACCAACCTCATTTAACATCTTGGTTTTTCAGATCAAAGTTCTAAATACACTTCAGGCATAATTGGGAGTATTGTGCATCTACTGCCAAAGACATTCTTTCTGCTTTGTAGGAATGCTCATATGCAACAACAGCCCATCACAGGACATGTTCACCCTTTCAGCCATGGTGTGTTATAACATGGCAGTCAATCTCACTAGTCATTGGTTAAGAGTAGTCTAAGAATTGGCAGTGGGTGATGTTGACTAGCTGCCTTCCAGCTAGTTTGTTGCTACAAAGTAGCGACAGGTAGCTCAGATAGCCCTTGAGTAGATTTTCAATCAAATTCAACAAACAAAAAAGAACACGTGTAACATCTACAATGGAACCTTCCTTCTCAGTGCCATCTGACTTCAGGCCTGTTATCATGCAGCATAACTATCTCTTCAGTCATTTTTGGGTTTTTTTCAGCAGAATCTCCTTTTCTTCCTTGTCTTGTAGACCTTCTTACAAATGCATCCCTCACAGGTTGAGATGCAGTGATGAAGAATCTGTATCTTTCTGGTTCTTGTACTTCTCTAGAAGCAACAGTTCATATCAACATACTAGTACTATGGGGTGTCCAATTTGCTCGTCTTGAGTTTCTGCCCCTTCTCCACCTTTTTTTTTGTTTATACAGTAAATTCTGTTGTTGTAGCTTATATCAACAGTTAAGGTGGTGCTTGTTTTTCAGCATTTGCTTTGCTGCAGTTTTCTCCTTTTGAATCCAAGTACGTTTTAAAGTTTTTTTTTCATTACATTGCTGTCTCTTCATCCTTAGGATCCTGTAAGAAACAGCCATAAGTGCTGTAGTTGATCAAGCAGTGAACAATACTACATTCAATTACATGTATTCTGTGATGAAAATAGTGCACCAATTTCAAAATAATCATTGTTAACTTATAGTGTAAAATGAAGTTTTTGTAATGACTATACAAATGTGTATGTACATCTACATGTAAGGTATAAAACTCAAACAAATCTGCTGAAGGTGGGCGTGGCACCTGTCAGGGGTTGAAAAAAATTTATTACTTGTTTCAACTGTATTCATTCAGAGAACTTTGAAATGTACACTTACAAGTCTAAAGGTTATGCAAGCATCTTGTCGTCTAGATGTACATCTACTCAACTGCCATTGTATTATTGAAGATACAGAGTGCCAAAGTAGAGAATTTTAATAGCTCATTGGTCATGTGACAATACATCTGAAGTTTTAAGTAGTTTCTAAAGGTTTCTTTTAAATAAACGACTTAAACTTGGATAACATAATATTTCAAATCATAACATACATTATAATGTTAATTTTATTCACATACATTGATAGTAAAGGTGCTTAATTTTTGAATGTAACTTAGTGACTTGAGCAGAAAAGAGTATAAAGGGGTACCCATTGCAAAAGGGTTGATAAAAAAACAAAGAGCTCTTATGAGTGTGTGCAAGTCCCCCCTTGTTAATTAAACTAAGTGAGATAAAGTAAAAACAAATGGACAAACTGAAAACATACTCTAAGTTAAGTCAAATGTCACATTAATTTATATAAAAATTCTGTGTGAAATTCAAGATCTTGGATTTCACAAATAAACCTTAAAAACACTATCAACTTCAATTTATAGAGCCAACACTCTCACTTTGTACCTTTTTACTGTGAACCAACACTCCACAAAACACTAGTGGGAATAAAAGCAGCAGTAACACTAATTCCTACTTGCTATGCAAGTGTAAGGAAAGTAACACAGATAACTGAGTTAATCAGACCTATAATTTAAAGTAACTATAAGATTAAATGTATAATGTAAATATGGCATAAAGTGAAGATTTGTGCCAGATAGTTAATGAAATACAACTGAAAATAACATAAGGGGACCTAAAAACTGTACAATCTTTTAAATGCAATGAAAACTTTATGGAAATTCTTTGGCAAGTGTACTTAAGTTCTGCTCTCCCAATCTCAACAGTGTCACAAATGTCAATAAACTCTAAAGTACCTGACACAAGAATACGGCTATTGACTCTTGTAAGCATTTCATTCTCCATATAAAGTCGAGACAGCTTAGTCTGCTATGTGATTGCCACGATATAAAAGACTGTTTGGTTTAGATATTATT